GTGTGTACCCCATCCTCCGCAGAGCCCTCTGCTGAGACCCACCGGGAGGACCGTGTTAGGGATAGAAACTGGACATTCTCTTTCCACCCATGTTGGTGCCTTTTTGCCACCCGTCTGCTGTGGCTCCTTTGCCAAGGTCTGCCAAATCCTGCAGCCCAGCCGCCCTTTTTGTGCTTCTGGGAGGGAAGGGGAAGCATCGGTGCGCTGATGGAGGCTCTGGGCTGACCAGTGCTCCTTGCTGTGCACATTTGGGATCGCAGTTTAATCTCTCTGTGCCATAGAATTGATATGCAGATGAAAAATGTTATCTCTACTTTCTAACATTTAAAAAAATGCTTTCTATGTGTCAGGCACTATGTAAGCAACCTGCTTCCGTTATTTCATTTAATCCTTACATTAGTCTCGAGAAGTAGGCATTATTATGATGTCCATTTTACAGATAAGGAAACTGAGGCCTGAAGTTAAATAAATTGCTTACTCGGGATTACACAGCTATATGAAATAATATGTGTGGGAAAGGACTTTGGGAAGAAAATACGGATAAGGATAATACTTTTACATATGATGATCATATTCCGTTACTAAAATCCTCTGCCAAAAGAACCCTAAATGGAATAACTAAAAATAACTAATTTACTTACTGCCACGGGGCATGCTGAGTGCCATCCCTGGGTAGAGTCGCAGCATGAGGTGGGGTTAATGCCTTAGAAGAGGGGCATACATGGCCCCACCCTGCACAATGCCAACAAAGCACTGGGTCACCAAGAAGGGGGGGTGGGTACCGTGGCTAGGGTGTTCTCTGCCTGCCCAGCTGCCTCACCACCTGTGGGCTCCTGAGGACACCTGGCCCATCTCTGCGCATTATCTACAGAGCCCTAGTTCCTTTCCCCTCTGCACCCCGCCACCCTCCATGTTTTTCAAGGTTCACTTCTCCCTGCCACTTTTTTGTTTCCTATTGGGCCTATTGCTTTCCCCTCTGGAAGGCGGCGTCAGAGCCCTGTGATTGCATTGCTAAGACCTAAGGCGAGAGAAGGATGAGGAGGGAGGGCCAGCCTGGGATCTCAGCGGGTTGTGTTGAGTCTGGCCTGGTGCAAGTGGAGGTGAGCCCTACCTGGCCGTTTGACCCCATCCTGGGCCACAGTTTCCTCATCTATTAGGAGTGGGAGGAGATGTCCCCGAAAGCCATCTGACTTCCCTCCAGATCTGAAATCTTGCAGTGCTGCCCACTCCCTGAGTCTCCAGCTGCCTCCTAGAGGGCTATGGAAAAGGCCTTCTTTCTTATACTCTAGGGAGTTGCCTGGGATTTTCTTCCGACCCAACTCTGCCCTCTCTCCCTCCCCACAGGCTTCCCTTGGCCTATGTGGCAGGCCAGCTGTGGAGCTGCCTTCAGAGAGAGGCACTAGGGCAGCAGCCAGCTGGAGAAGGGTCCTGGCATCTCCCTGATGGTCTGATCTTTGACAGTGGCGGTGGAAGAGCCAAAACTGCTTGGTAGTGGTGGTGGTGGATGGTGGCAGCGAGAGGGATTGCCAAGCCTGGGCCTCCGACCTTCCCCCCACCATGAGTGGGTTCTGAGGGTCTGTGGCCGGTCAGCCTTCTTCCTCTTTTGGGGGTAAAGTGTCAGCAGATTTACTAACTTGTGAGCACCCTACTTCTGACTCAGCATTTTATAGCTCAGAATCTGCTGAGTCACCCAAGGGCAGCCCCAGTGTGCTCCTTCTCCCATGTTGGATCAGGCAAGGACTGATTGGGTGTGCCGGTTTCTGGAACAGAGTCACGGAGCCCCTGGATCTGGTGGGCAGAGTGTTCACGGGTGGGGACACCCTCTCCCATCCTGATGGGCACCTTCGAAGAAGTGGCTTTGGAGAAAGGCAGTGGCAGAAGCAAGGCTGTTTTTCCTGGGGAGGCGGGCAGGTGTGGGTTGGATCTACCTGGTCTGGCTTTGCTGTGGGAGCCCTAGGGGAAAACACAGACTCTTGCTCTGGGTTTAGTAGACCAAGGAAAGAGGAAAAAGAAAATTGCTCCTGGAGTCTAAACAGCTCTAGGTTTTTCCCACGTGAGCTGTGAGCAAGAGCCCTGGAGCTCCAGGACTGTCTTCCTCCTGGGAAGGAGTAGAGGGGCCTGACCTAGGCCCAGTGTCCTTCTTGTCTGCGTTTACCCTGCGGCATCCCCCAGGTGTCTCCTGTCTCCTCACCTCCAGCCCAGCCACTGGGGATGCTTTCACCGCCCTACCCTATGCCTTCCTTGCCCTTAGCTTATTGCCTGTGCGCCCAGAGGCCAAGCAGAGGCTCTGCTCCTTGAAACAGGTAGGATGGAGCAATGGTGTGGTCTGGTGTGGGCTTGCAGCTAGTTGGGGTTGGTAACCTGTCCGTTCCACCCCGAGTTTTACAAACCAGGCTTCCTAGAGTCCCCAAGTGTGCTAAGGAAGGGTATTAGGGAGGTACGTTGCCTCCTGCCTGATGCGTGGGAGGGGACCAGTGAGGGGCTCTACCTCCTTCGGTGACCCGCTTGGGTAGGGCTGGAGGAGAGCTCCCTTCCCAGGAGGGTGGTAGGAGCCAGGGCGTGGGCAGCAGGACTGCCTCCAAACTTGGTGTGTGTTTATCTGGAGGGGAGGCCTCTGTGTAGGGCCTGGAGCAGGGTTGAGGGAAGGTGAGAGGTGATTAAACCATGCCTGCTTATTAACAAAGAACAGGCCCTGAAACACCACAAATGGCTGTCTTCCTCTCCCTCCTGCTGTCAGCCCTCTTTGGTACGTGCGTGTACGTGGGGGTGGGAGTTTTGGGGAACCACTGGATCGTGATCAGTGGACTAAGAGATGGCATCTTCACGGGCCCCTATTTCAGCATTTCCTAACCCAGAAACTGCTGAGTCACAGAGGAATTGTTCTGACCTTATTTTTCTCCCAAGCTGGCTTCTAGAATCTTTGAGTGGGAAAGGATCTTAGAGCTCAACTTCCCCAACCCCTTGTGGTATGAGGAGACAGAAGGCGAGGGGACCTGTTCCAGACAGGTGCCCATCAGACTGTTCCTTGAGTGTGCTCAGTGACAACAAACCTTGTGCTTAGAGCCCTTTAAGAAACCAAACAGCTCCCTCAAATGAAAACATGGGACACATGTGAGGAGTGGGAGGGACTTCTGGGAAAGGTGGCTGGTATAAAATCCAGATCTTGTAGGAGGTAAGAGGAAGCTGTGAGATGATTGTCCTGTCCACCTCTGGCCCGCTCCAACATCCAGAATAGGTAGGGAGGGACAGATGCTTGTCCTGGCCCACCCTGATCTCAGTGGGAGGGGGACCCATATTCTAGGCCCCCACCCCCTGAGGAAGAGTGGAGGTGGGCAGGGGCAGGGCTGGGAGAGTGTTCGAGGGGTCAAACAGTGGCAGGGACTAAGGGAAGCCGTAGGCTTGGTAGGCCTTCGCCCTCACTAGGGTAGAACCCTGGGCCCAGTTACCCAAACTGCCAGGACCCCTGGGCCCCACCCATTTTTAGATGTGGAAACACCAAGGCTTTGGGACACAGCAGTGCCAGGCTCCCGATTTCTTGGCTTGGAGTCTCATGGATTTTTGTTCTTCACTGGACTGCCTGGGGACAGCCGAACTGGGACAGCCTCTGAGCTGGTAACCAGAGCATAGCTCCATGGTGACTAGCTTCCCCCTGCCTTTTTCCCCCTTAAAAAAAACTATGAAATATTTTAGGCACATAAAAAAGGATAGACAATTTAACAAACACCCTTTTATTCATCACCCAGCCTAAGAAAATAGCATAGATAAAATAGCATAGATTCCCTCAAAGCACTTCCCCACCCGAACCGCCCCATCAACTTCCCTTCCTTGTCTCCATTGCCAGAGATAACCACTTTCCCCAACCAGATGCTTATCCTTCCTGTGCACATTTGGTAACTACTCTGAGTGGCATGTATGCAGCTGCCTTTTGGAAAGGCCTCCTGACTCCTAGGATGCAGTGGCCTGAGTGGACCACACCTTGCAGTCCAACCAGCTGAGAGCCTGCAGCTGGCTCTGCCTCTTTCCTCATTTGTCCCTTGCCGGGATGCACCGCCCTGCCCGGACCCTTGCCAATGGAGTTGATGTTTGTTCCACTCTTTGGGCTGCACCAGCAGTCACTGCCTGGCACAGAGGGTTGTTTTGTATTGTATTGTATTGGCTGGGTGGCAGCTGGCATCCTAGGGGAAGTGTCCACCCAGGCGCAGAGACCAGGCCCAGGAAAAGCTGGGACAGGGTGGGGGGTACAGGTGGTGATGGCCTGCCCTTTGCCACAAAATGGAGGGAGTGGCATGAGGTCTGGCTAAGAACAATAAGGTCACTCAGGGGCTGCGTGACCCTGGAGTCTTCGTGGCTGGACCTCCTCATCCTGCAAAACCAACTCAGGCAGTTTGGGAAGAGCCCTGCAGGCCCTGTGACTTTGAGACTGTGGCCTCTGAGGGCTGGGTGGAGAAGGAGCATGGGGCAGGAGCATGGCTTCCCTGCTCTGTGGCCCTCAGGGTAAACAGTGACAAGTTCCCAGAAAGCAGGCTGGGCTGCTGAGGCGCAGATTTTCTGGTTTTCAGGATCCTTTTATACTCTTGAAAAGTAGTGAAACTCCATGCAAATTTTATGTATGTGAGTTTTATCTATTGATATATACTATATTAGAAGTTAAAACGGAACATTTTTTAGCATTTTAAAGTAATACTAAAAATAACATGAATTAACATAACATTTTTGTGAGAGAGAGTCATGTTTTCCAAAACAAACAAAAAAAAAAAAATGAGAGAGAATGGTAGGGTTTTGTATTTCTGCAGGTTTCTCTAATGTTGGGCTTACTAGCAGGCAGCTCAGTCTCTTACCTGCTTCTGATATCACAGCCCCTGAAAAGGAAAACTCCATTCTATGAGGGAGTGAGTGACAAGACCATATTCTTGGTATTCTTATGCAAATAGGCATGGCCTAGTGGATCTACAGGGCCCTGGAGCACCCTGGGGATGGGCCCTGATGTGTCTCTCCTGCAGGGGTGCTGGCATTGTGGGTCCTCGTGACTCACATTATGTACATGCAAGATTACTGGAGGACCTGGCTCAAGGGGCTGCGCGGCTTCTTCTTCGTGGGTGTCCTCTTCTCGGCTGTCTCCATCGCTGCCTTCTGCACCTTCCTCGTGCTGGCCATCACCCGGCATCAGAGTGAGGGCGGGTCCCAGGGAAAGAGGGCATGGGAGGGGCAGCAGGGGGGATTTTAGCAGCATTCCCATCCTGGTTCCACAGGTTACCTCCAAAGAGACTGGGTGGATCACTTAACCTCCCTGGGCACGGGTTTTGTTATGTTCAAGTGGAGAAAACAAGTCCCCACCTCCCAAGTTGGGTGGAGTCAGTGAAACTGATGTGAAGTCTTGAGCAGTGCATAGCCCATACAAGCACCCATGATATTGGGACCCATTAGTCTCTGCCCAGCTCTGGGATGGGCGCGCCCTCTGGTGGCTGTGGCTGGAAGTAACCAGAGGCCCTTCTTCCTGGAGTCTGATGCTAACTAAAGCAGGTTTGTTACGGAAGCAGAGTGGATGATACAGACCTGTGATTGGCCAGCCCTGCCCTTCCCTAATCCCCACGGCCTCCTGCCTGAAAACCCTGGAATGTTCTAAAATGGTCCCCAGCCCCTCGGCCGTGGAACAGTAGTGGCCCGTGTCCTGTTAGGAACCAGGCCGCATAGCAGGTGAAGGGCAAGGAAGCCTTACCGCCTGAGCTCCGCCTCCTGCCAGGTCAGGGGTGGGCATTAGGAGCACAAACCCTGTTGTGAGGCACATGCGAGGGATCTAGGTTGCGTGCCCCTGATGATCTAATGCCTGACGATCTGAGGTGGAACAGTTTCATCCCAAAACCGTTTCCCCCAGTTTTTTTGTGGAATAATTGTCTTCCACAAAACCAGTCCCTGGTGCCAAAAAGGTTGGGGACCATGGCTCTAAAACCTCCGTCACAATCTCTTTCTGAAGGGTTGGTTCAGCTGCCGGGAGGTTGCAGGGATGTTGAGTGGGGAGGGTGGCCCTGGCCTTGTGGCCAGTGCAGAGGCTGAGGGCAGGGCGTGCTCAAGTCACCGTCGGTTCTTCTCTCCCTGCAGGCCTCACAGACCCCACCAGCTACTACCTCTCCAGTGTCTGGAGCTTCATTTCCTTCAAGTGGGCCTTCCTGCTCAGCCTCTATGCCCACCGCTACCGGGCTGACTTTGCCGACATCAGCATCCTCAGCGATTTCTGACCCAGGGGTGAGGTCTCTGTACCCCAGGGGGGTCCTTAGGACCTGGACTCAGCCTCTGAGACGTTGGGAGAGGCTACTCCCACCCCCTGGGGACCCCAGAACTGTGGCAGAAAATACACAGCAGGATGAGTGTGGTCTCCCAGGAAGCTGTCCCGCCCGTCCCCTTTAGGGGAGACCTGGGTGTGGTAGACAGGGGATTCTGCCATGTTGCTCCTCATCAGCTTGTCCAGAGGGCAGCTTTAGACCTCTTCAAATGGATCTGTTTTCTTTTCTTCTTCTTCTTTTTTTTTTTTTTTTTTTTTTGAGATGGAGTCTTAACTCTTATCACCCAGGCTGGAGTGCAGTGGCACAATCTCAGCTCACTGCAACCTCCACCTCCCGGGTTCAAGCAATTCTCCTGCCTCGGCCTCCCAAGTAACTGGGATTACAGGCATCTGCCACCATGCCTGGCAAATTTTTGTGTTTTTAGTAGAGACGGGGTTTTGCCATGTTAGCCAGGCTGGTCTTGAACTCCTGACCTCAGGTGATTTCACCCGTCTCAGCCTTCCAAAGTGCTGGTATTACAGGCGTGAGCCACCGTGCCCGACCTGGATCTGTTTTCTTAGCACGCAGTGAGGAATCTTTGTATGTAAGGCCAGGGCAACAAAGTCAAGAGGTTAAGGGGTAGGGCCATGAGGCCTGGAGCTATGCTGCAGGCCAGGGCTTCCATCCCTGCTGCCCTAGGCACTCTCTTCCCAAGGCCAGGGTGGGCACCTGGGGAGGTCAGTTCAGGAATATCTAGCAGAGACCTCTTAAGCCCCCATCCCAGCACCCCATCCTGTTGTTCCCAGAGCTGGTCTCCCATGAGTGTGCTAGAGCCAGATAGCCATGGCCCCTCACCCATCTCACCCACACACACAGGCATCCATATACCCCAAAGGACTTCCAAATGAGGCCAGACTCAGGGTCATGGGGAATGTGCTCTCGCCCCTGGAAGGGCTTTGGGGAAGGGGGCAACATGGCAGAGGCTGGAAGGAGCCCCCAAACCTGTTCCCATGCCCCTCTAGCCCTGCGTTTCCACTCTGCCTTCTCAGAGTGCCCTTACTGCACCCAGACCACCGGCCAGGAGAGACCTTCTCTCCCACTCCAGCCCCTCACTGCCCTTCAACTAGAGCTTTCACCTTTTTACATTTCCCTTCTGAAGGACACAAATCTGCTTTCCTGCCCATACACTGGCCCAAGGGCTCACCTAACTTGGGAGGGAAGGGGCTGTTGTTACAAGGATGATTTTATGTTAGACTGCCATTTTGCACGGTCTCCCCCTTCCCACCTGATGTGTCCTGCCCCTCAGCTCTTTGCCTTATCTGTGTCACTGTCACTTTAGCAAAAATACAGCGGCCATTTGTATCAGCCTCTGGTGGTTGCTTGTGAGGTGGGAATCTTGTGGGGACAGGTGGACTTTGGGAGGAGTGGGCAGGGAGGGAGTGGTAGTGGCAGTTCTCGGGCTGTCTGATTAAGCCATTCCCCTAGTTCAATTGTGCCCTGGAGGGCAGGGGACAGGGTCAGTCTCTCTGGGGCTGGAGGCCCTCTTGCCTTGGCCCTCCTGGCATGGGGTAACCACCAGCTCAGCTCTCCTCCTCCAGCTCTCCTCTCTCTAGCACACCTCAGCCAGGGCAAGGATGCCCATGGGCATAGCTGCAGCAACCCCTGTGGGATTTGGTGTCCACACCTGAGAGGCCAGGCCAGATGGGAAAGGATTAACACCTCTTCCCTCACACCCTGCCAGGCTGCTGGGAGCTTGGGCCAGGTCTAAGGTAATGAGGTGCTCCTCTTCCTGCTGGAAAAACCGGGCCAACTCAGAACCACAAAGGCAGGTGCTGCCAGCCTGGCGCCTTCCTCTCTGCTTAGGCTGGGCGAGCTTGTCCAGGCCTGTGCCTCACCCCTTTTCTCTTCTAGGCTCAATGTATGCTTAATCAGGCATGGTGCATCAGAGCAGGAAGGAACCATCAACAGTGTATGCTTCTGGAGCCTTCTACTGATAAACAGAGGCCCCAGAAGACTATTTGACTTACCTGAGCTCCCAGCTGGGACTTAAACCCAGGTGTGTCTGAGTCACAGCTGTTTGGGGATGCCGTGGTGAGCTAGGGCTGAGCTCTTGTATTCCCACTCCCCCACCTGACCCCGACTTCCACCATATCAGGGCTGGTCTCTGTGGACTCAGCCCAGGCCTGCCTCCTCTTTGTCACCCCAAAGTGGGGCAGCCAGGGATAGCCAGGGTGTGTTCAGAATGGGTTCTTCCTGCAGGGCACGAAGGGCAAAGAGTTAGAGGGGCTGCAGCCCAGACCACCCTGGTCCCTCCTCCGGCACTGACTCAGACCCACACCGTGCCGCGCACCTGTGTGCCCTGCACAGCCACTTGACGGCACACTGCTCACTTCCGGGGGGACCTTTCAGAGGCACTTTTAAAGCAAATAAAACATTTATTGTTCAGATTTTTTTCCATTTTGTTCCTTTTTACAAAAACATGCATACATACACAGGGTATGGTGGGTCCTAGGAAAGACACACACCCCTCACACACGCTCACACACACTCCTCATTCACACACACGCTCACACACATTTTCCTTCTTGACCCCAGGCCTGGACCCCCAAAAGCCTTGAAGACTTTGCCAGAGCAGCCTCCCCTCCTCCGTGTCTGTATCTTCTCTCCCACCCCTTCCCCCTCAGCCAGGCTAGTCCTATGTGGGGTGGGAGTCAGAGCTGTGGTGGGGGAGACCCCAGAAACAGAAGGCTCCCCGAGGGGGCAGTGGTCGAGGGGTCCCAGGGGTATGCTGTGCTTCTGGGGGAGATGAAGGGTTTGGCACCATTGGATCAGGAAGCACAGGACTCCCAGAGCACCCGACTCCCAGAGCACCCATCCGCTCCACCAGGGCATCGCCAGGAGGTTGATGTAGGGGGCCTCTGGTGAGGGCACAGACCAGAAGAGGGCTGCCAGTCTCGGCTGTCAGGGAGCTTCGTCTCAGTGCCCGGTGGTAAGGGGAAGCTTCCAGAGTCATCTGAGGAAGCAGGTAAGAGGCACTCCCCCTGCACTCAGGAATATGGGACCTATTGGCTGCCACTACCCGCCAGCCCCTAGAGCCTAGGAAGGGCCAGCCTGTCTGAGGCCAAGTTCACATTTCTGTGTGGAGCCCGGGGCTGTGTGCAAAGTCTGGGGTTTGCAGAGCCAGGAATAGTGGTTAAGGGTGAGCCCGACGGAGCCGGAGCCAGTCCTCCTCTGTGCAGTCCTGAGGAATGGGGGCCACAGCCAGGGCCCACACCGGAGGGGAGAATGTGTTCTCGAGAGCCCTGTGGGGGTCGCTGCCCAGCCCGCCTCCTCTCAGGGTCCTCTCCAGTCCCCATTCTAGACCCAGGGATTTTCTCAGGCTCCCTGGGATGACTGTCAAGGCAGGCAGGCTGTTTTCTCATCCCAACTACCTGCCCACAGGATCTCTAAAGACCCAGGAATGGGGGCTACTGCCAGGGGTTAGAAGAGAACCAGGTCCCAAGGGCATGGTGGGCGGGCAGATGGTTCCAGAGCCTTAGAGATTCATAGGTTCTTCCTCCTCCACCAGCTGCTCCGAGGGCCTGCGAGGAGGGACAAGGGTGGGATGCTGGAGCGCCAGGGCTGCAGGAAGGGCCTTAGCTGAGCTTCCTCTCAACTCTGGTCAGGAAGCCTGGGAGGGTTGGGGTGGCTGCACAGGGGACCCGGGGTCTTCAAGCAGGGAGGAATGAAGCGGTGGAGAGGCTGTGGGCCCAGGGCGGGGGGTCTGGCATTACCTGTCTTCAGCCAGGATGCCCACAGAGAGGGATGCCAGTGCGGTCACTGCCTCCACTTCTTCTTTGTCAGCCCCTGGCACTCTAGGCACCCAGGAGTCTGGACAGGAGGCCAGGCGCTGCATGCAGCCCCAGTATTTACCTGGGGTAAGATGCCAGGTCAGAAAGGGTTAGAGAAGGCAAGCCCCCCCACACCATGTCCTAGACTGGATACTGAGGTTGGTGTCTCAGGCCCAGGGCCCCGGAGTAGCAGGCCTGTCCTCCACTTGGGGTTGGCTCTCCCACCTGCCCCTCTCCTCACTTTACTCCCCCTCCCCCACAGCCTGACAGGGTAAGCAGAGTGGGTTCAACATGGCTGTGAGGGGGTCCTAGCAGGTGCCCAGCCTTTCTCTCATCCCCTGTGGCTGCAAGGCCACCTTTGACTCATTCCCCACAGGTGCAGGGCTCCTGAGAGCATCAGGAGGGCCTGCTTGCCTGCAGACAGGGTCTGTGTCACAGCGACCTCCCAGAGCCCCAAGCTCGGGCCTCCCACTTAAATGCAGCCCCCACCAGTGCTCAGCCCAGCACTCAGGAAAGCAGGGCCTGGGAGGTGGGAAGAACACGACGTGGGAGAGCTGACCATCACCACGGCCGCTCTGCATGGGTGCCCAGGCCAGAAGAATGCTCCTCCTGCCTGCTGCTGTGAGAAGCCATGTCCTGGAACCTGGCTCAGTGTGGGGGTACCCACCGTAAGAGGAATCAGCCATGTCTTTACCATCATGGCTCCTGTACCCAGCCCTTGATATGGGAATCTATTTTATTCATTTTTATCCCTAGTATAGATTATGGGTCTTGACATAAGATGCTCAATAGATATTGAGTTGAAGTTGAAAATTTAAAGTACTTTACAAATGTGGGGGTTATCCTAAGACCCAGCCCCCAGAGCTCCTGAGACCCCCATGGCCAGGACTGAGGGGAGGGATGGGAACCAGGCCTTTTGGCAAACAAGGCCTGAGTGTTGCTGTTCACCTGGCCGTGGTCTAGGGCTGTAGCTAGAGATGGAGGCCAGTCCCTACCTTGAGGGGCCACTGTCCGCTGGGCCCTGCTGGCTCCATCGGGAGGGCTCAGAGGACACCCCCTCGCTCGGGGGTGCTCACCATTGCTGCCTGGGTCATTCACAGGAATCTTACTCCAGACCAACAGCAGGTCACCTGGCTGGCACTGGAAGCCCTAGGACTCTGGCCACGGGGGGGCAGGGTACCACCAAGATCCCCCAGTCTGAGCTCAGCGAGTGTCCCATCTCCACACTTACTGTGCACCCGGATCACGGCCTCCAGAGAGCGGATGGCATTGAGGTTGGGTTTCTGTTTCCAGCCTTCTTCTGAAAGGGGATCCACCTATAGAAAACAGTACATCAGCCACCAGTCTCAGGGACCCACAGGCCCAGCTCACTCCCACCCCAGGGGCCCCGGACTGCTAGCCACAAGCACACTCTACCTAGGCCAGGAGACGCTGCCCGGACTTAACTTGGAACAGAGGCTTCCGCTTCGCCTACCTCGTTTCAGGCCTGGCCACTCCCACCCTGTGCCATCCCATCTGCCTGCTCTTTGGGTAGTCCTGGGAGAGCCAGGCTAACCTGCCTGACAGAAACACGGATAGGGGAGGGAGATGGCTCACCTTGTTACCCAGAAGAGCAGCCACACAGGCCTCAGAGGCGTCACAGATGGCTGTGAGGTCATGGCCACCCTCCAAGGCCAGCACCACTGCACCTCCTGCCAGGTTCATCAGTTGCTGCGTCATGTACCCAAAACCTAGAGGTTGGATGGGGAGAAATGGGAGGGGAGGGAGTGGAGAGGTGACCCCGTTCCCGACCCCTGTGGCTTCCCTGCTTGCTTCCTCCCTAATAAAGAATGACTCACATATATCAATCACTATTTCCAAAGTGCTTTCACATTGAATGTCGTGCAAAACCTACTAGTATGCTTCACTCAAGGCTCAGGGAGGTTAAGGGCCTGGGAAAAGCCCCACAGCTAGTAAGTGGCAGCAAGGTAGGACTTGAACTTGAGTCATTGACTCTAGCCTGTGTCTTTTTCACTGAGCTGCACCCTCTCCTCCTTCTGTCCTGTGGGCCCTGTGGCCCAGTGGGCTGAGTGGGCGCCGTCTAGTCTGAGAGTGCTGCTCCTCTCTCCCCTTCCTCTGGAGGAGCTGCCAGCTCCCCTGGAATCAACCCAGCTGGGGTGGGGAGTCCCATGGGTGAGCTTCCTGCCTACTGGAATTAAGTCCCCATGAGTATGACCTGGTCAAGCCCTCTATGGTGAACCAGCCCGGTCCTGAGAAAGGGCCTGGGCTGTGCTCAGATCCTGGGGGCCAGCTGCCATACTCCAGTCCTCAGGCTGAAAGTACTGGGCTGACCACTGCCACCTTCCCTTTCTGACTTGGGAGTGCCTCCCTACTCCCCGCACCACCTCCCTACTCCCCATACCGCCTCCCCACTGCCCGCACCCCCTGGCTCTCAGTCCCTATATCTCCCCCTCAGCTGAGGCTCCCTTACATTTGGCAGAAACATGGTAGCCACCCAGTGGGGCCGGGTGACCCTCAGCAGCATCAAATCCAGCAGACACCAGGACTAGGTCTGGAGAGAACTCTCGGGCAATGGGCATCACGACTGTCCTGTGAGATCACAAGAAGTGGTGATCATCATACTGTGCAGGGTTGCCGGGGCGGTTCTGCCAATGTTGCAGTGGGGCACCCTGTTCTTAGGCCTCCAAGGCTCCCAATGCCCCAGCACAACTGGCAGATTTCTCTGACCTCCTTGATCTTGGCTGGCCACCCATGTCCCTGGCACACACACCCTGGACTCAGCCCCCTAGGGGACTTAACTAGCAGGAGGCAGAAAGGAGCCAAGGATGGAGCACCAGAGGCAATGAAAGAGGAGTGTGTGTGACCATGTGTGTGTGCACGTGTGTGTGCATGGAACCATCTGTGGGGTGCAGTGAGCATCTGTGGGGTGCAGTGGCCTGAGCCACAGGGAAAGGGTAATCTCATGGCCTTGCAGAGATGGACTCTGGTCATGAAGCTTCAGGGACTAGAAATGCTCAGTCCTTTGGACTGAGTTGGCCACACCCAGCTACTCACTACTTGAGAGGTGAGTGGGGACAACTAGGTCCTCTGAGGTCCTGGGCCACCTGGCTACATTCTCTCCATCCTCTCCCTCTTCCAGCCCTCCCCCACAACTGCCTCCCTCTACCCTGATCCAACTCTGGGGTCTGCTTGGGTGTTCTTCATAGCCCTGGGCTCTGAGAAGACTCCAAGAACTCCAGCCCAGGGCTCTCACAGAATTAGCTGTCATGGAGATAACTCCAGAAAAGTGTTGGAAGATCCATTTCCAGAATTCTCTTTTCCCAAATGGAGTGTAGGTACCCCAGTGTGAAATATATAAGGGCTCCTGAACAAATCCCAAAGGCCCTCTTCCAGAATGACTTTTTTTTTAAGTTACTCCCCCAATATGGACATTATCTGTTTTCTCTCTTTCTCCACAATTTAAATTTCTGCTCTTCTGCTGAAAGCCCACCTCCCGCAGGCAGCCTTCTCTGACTAAATGTGCCAGCTCTGCTCACTCCACTGCCCATCTGCCAGCAATCAGTTTGACATTGGCTCTTGGTAATGTATGCCTTTGCAAAGCACGCTTTGACTTTTGCGTTCTTCTCTCTGTGTGTCCTATTCTCACTACTGTTCACCTACAATGTCTAGGAACTGGTGGGGACAGGCTGACAATCCAACTGATCACCTCCACCCTGGTGCTCTTGGGAGAATGGACAGGAGAGCACATACCTGAAAGCAGCCAGGTACTCAGGATCCCCCATGGGGGGATCCAGACCTCCAGTCCAGGCCACATTGACATTGAAGCCCTCACCGCTGCCAGCCCCTACCTGGAAAGCAGGAGGCAAGAGAGACATGAGGACAGCAGAGTCCCAGAAGGGGATCACCAGCTTGTTAGAGCTGCCACCCCAGCTCATCCAGCCTCCTCATTTCCAGATAGGGAAGTTGAGGCTCAGAGAGGTTCAGCAGTCTACCCAGGATCACACAGCTCATCACGACAGAGGCAGAGTAAGTGCCAGGAGGAGACTCAATGAGGCTGGAGGATGTGGCCCTGACATGCGGTTACCTCATCCACAGCCCCACTCCCTGGGAAGAAGTTGCCATCGTCATGGCGATGCAGGGAGATGTAGAGCACACTGGGGTCTTGGTAGAAGGTTTGCTGGGTGCCGTTGCCATGGTGCACGTCCTGTGTAGGGAGATAGGCAGTGATTAGGGAAGGCAGCGACACAGAGGCCAGGACAGGTTAGAAGGGTTTCAAGGTCAGTGGCCATTCTGAGGTCAGGACCCTAGACTGGGGATCAGGAACCTGGGGTTCCTAGAGCCACATGGTTGAGTGGCCCCACGTAATCCACTGCCCAGCTCTGAACCTCGGCTTCTCTGTGCTGGACAGGGCTGGCTGTAATATAAGATCCTGAAGGAGAGGAGGTGTCCCAATCTCAGGCCAGCCCACCTGAGAGAGTAACTGTGTGGACATGGGGTTAGTGGCAAGGAGAGGGAAAGGTTCAGGGTTACACACATCAGGAACCACTCTGTCTTGCATAAAGTCATGAAGTTATGAGGTGATCAGAAACCAAGCTCGGTTACAGAGTGGCAGGTACACGAGGCCCAGCCCCATCCCTCTTAGGGAAAGCTGGCCCCTACACTTGACTCACAGGACCATGCGGGGACTCAAGTGTGCAAAGGTCCTCCACCATTCTCAACATCTGCTTAGAAATGTCTCTTTCACAGCTGTCAGTGCAGAAGGGACATAGCTTAGCAGTTAAATGCAAGCACTCTAGAGCTAACCGGGCTGGGTTCAAATCCATCTCACGACTTACGAATGACTGTGTGTGAGTTACTTAATCTCTCTGTGCTCACTTTCATCTGTAAAGTGGGTTATAGTCAGGATTAAATCTATCATGTGTAAAACCATCAGTGTCTGGATGTGATTAGTGGTGTACTGATGTTATCTGCTATTATTCTTATCATCACTACCTGTACAGGAAATGCAGAAATTACTAGATCTGCCAAAAGAAGCCAACAGAGGTCAAAAGACAACACTCAAATGACAGCTCCTACCCATTGCGGGGGTTTGCGATGGCTGAATGCGTTCCCACACACCATCCCCTCTAGGCCTCCCAACTGTGATGTGGGTGTTATCTTCACTCAAGTTTTACACAAGGGGAAACTGAGGCTCAGAGAGGCTACTGCAGAACTAAGATATGAAGCCACATCTCTTAACTTCAGGCTCAGGGCCTTTCCCCCAGGGCTCTCGAATCAGAGGGTGCTACGAACAGGCACCTACCCAGTCTACAATGAGGATCTTGCTAGCCTTGCTCTGCTGTTGCAGCTGCCGGCAGGCGATGGCCACTGAGTTGAAGAAGCAGAAGCCCCTGGAAGGAGAGACAGTTCGTGCCAGCCCATTCTCCCCACATGCCCTCCCCTCCCCAGGCCCCTGGGTTGGCCCAGCCTGAGCAAGCTCAGGGAATAAGAAAGAATGTCCCTAAAGGAAGTTCCTGGGGGCTTGCCCCCCACCTCATCCCACCCAGGTCTTCCCCTAGCCTTACATGGCTGTTGAGTGATCTGCATGGTGTCCTGGGGGCCGCACCACAGCGAAACCATTCTGGAAAAAGAAAGAATGCTTGTCAATCAACAGACAGCTCTCTCCCACAGCTGCATGAACGTACCCCAACAGTTTAAATCTCAACCTGGTCCCCAGAGCCCTCAATTTCCCCTCGAAAACCCTGTGGCAATTTCTAAGATGAACGCAATGCCTGGGGTTCTGGGCCTAGATTCCGCACTACCCCACTCTGCTGCCTCCTTTGTGGTGTGTTCACCTTCAACCCAAACCTCCTACCTTCAGCTCACGAGAAGCCACTTTGAAGGCGAGGTCAGTGACACTGCCAGCGGCCCAGCGGGCTGCATTGGAGGAATGCAGCTCATTCCAGATGGTGTCAGTGTCCACCTGCGGGAGCCAGAGTCAGGGCCCGCATCATCCAAGGCTTCACACAGGAGCCAGGGCCCAAGGGGGCAGTCCCCACCCCACGGCCAGGACCCCAGGGGCAGGGAGCTGGGCAGACAGCGCTGCCTCCCCAGTGCCCCACCGCCCAAAGGCAAGGCCTCCTGTGTCCCCCAATCCCAGCATGACTTTTTCCCAGCTTAAGTCCCAGCACCAGCCCATTATCTGGCCAGCACTCTGCTGGCAGCATCACACCTGCCTCCCCGGTCAGGGGAGGGGGCATGGCGTTACCTGGGCGGGACTTGGGGTTTGGGCCGGGAGGGGGTTTTAAGCCCCAGCTGACTCTGCTCAGGCCCTGCGGGACGGTCGGAGCTGGAGGGGCCGTCTGCACCACTGTCTTCCACTCAGGGCCCCTAGCCCAGGCTGGGAGGCCCCCCAAACCCAGTCCCTGGGCCTCAAGGCTAGGGAGGGGCCGGGGGGCATGATGGGGAGATGGGAAGGGCGAGGCAGACCAAGAGAGGCGAGGAAGGCAGAGAGAGTCGCAAGAGGCTGGAGAAAGAGAGAGAGAGGGAAAGACAGAGAGGGAGAGGAGGGAGGAGAAAACAGAAGCAACAACAGTTGGAAAAACCAGAAAGTGGCAAGAAATGGGAAGTTGTGAATAGGGCACTGACTGCCTCCCAAAGTCCCCCACCAGCTACAGCTCCCACTTTCCCTCCAGAATGAGGCCTCCATCCCCTGCCTCTACACACCTTGCTTGAGAAACTACTGCAGAGATAGTGTTAGGCGAGGAGAGCTGAGCCAGAGGGGACGGGAAGCTCCCTTCACAAAGGGGTGAGGACTGAGGAAGCAAAGCTCGTGAGTTTGGGGCTGTGTCCCGGAGTAGGGAAGTGCTGGGATCGCCAAGGACACTGGAAGCACCACCATGACGTCACGCCAGGCAGCCCAAGGTCTGGGGACCAGGCTGAGGTACCCCACTTCAGAGCAGACAGAGCAGCCTGGCGGCCAGTGCCCAATCATGGGGGTCTCTGAAGGGAGAGATGATCCTAAGCCCCAGCCTTGGCCCTGCTCCTGAAACCTCACTCAACCTCTACCAGACACCTTCTAGGGGCGAGGCTTAGGCTGGGCTCCACATTCGGGGGACACTGTGGGTCCGAGACACGCCTGTCCAAAAGGAGCTTCCTGCTGCAGAGGGCACCTCAGGAAGTCCCTGGCCCACCCTGTCTGGCAGAACCACAACAAGCAGAGGTTCTGCAGGGGCTGGGCCTGGGAGAACCACAGGGAGGAGAGCTGAGAGCCCTGGCAATGCCCCCTGAGACCCTTGGGCACACTTACCCCAACCCCACCACAGGGCAGCATCACAAACATCCGCTGTGCCAGGAGCCCTGCGAGGAGAGGCCCAGCCCACGTCAGCGTGAATACTCTCAGCCTTTGGCCCAATAGGGAGCAGGGAACCCAGATAGCAGGGCTGGGTGAGTATTGGGGGAGAGAAATATGGAAGGGAGAGGTGGAGGTGGGCTTCAGAGGGGCTAGGCAGCAAGCTGGGGTAGGGACGTCCAGGGCGTGGGAGGAGGCCGGCCAGGCGGGCAGAGCCAAGACAGGAGTGCATGGGAGCTGGGTGAGGTGAGTGGGCACGGGGAGACAGGGCCACTAGGCCCTTACCTGCCAGCTTCCCGTTGTCCAGTTTGAGGCGGCTGAGCGGGTTAGTGCCGTAGAGGAGCACGTGCCGCTCAGAGTGGACCGACTGCAGCTCCTCCAGGGAGGCCTTCCGGCCTCGGAGACACTGAACAGGGGACCACAGAGCTCTGAGCCCATGCTCACCCCTTCCCTCCCATCACCACCAGCCCATGTGCCCCTCATCTCTCATGGGCCCCAGGGCCCCCCACCCCTCCCCTCCCATGACTCCTCCCTCCACCCATTCCTCGGGCCCCACCGGCACCTCCTCACCTCACACTGGCTCCGGAGCCCCCGCTCCTGCAGCCGGGACCAGATGCTCTGGATGCGGCCGGCGTGCTCTGGGTGCCTGCTGTTGTCACCGCAGGAGCACTGGTGCTTCAGCATGACCGAGTCATAGATCAGCCCTGTGGGAGCAAGGGTCAGAGCGGGGACCCAGGGAGTCCTCACACCCCATGGCCTTGGCTGCAGAAAAAATGCCAGCACCACCACAGCAGGCACCCACACGGAGCCGGGCAGGCACACACCCCTCACACCCACACAGGCCTGCATTTCATCCTGCCCCCTGCCCCAGCCCCAGCCCCTCACACCTGTCCACACACGCCCAGACACTTGCCCAGGTGGCGGCAGCCAACACACCGACACAGCTCCAGCCAACACGGCTGCCACAGAGCCATGGCCTTCCCACATGCGGACACGACTGCTGGGTGGCCCAGCACTCGAGGGCCCAGCATCAGGCACTCAAGTGCTCAGAGCAAAGCATGAAGTCGAGGTCTAACGTACAGTGTCTCACATGGGTGTCATGAACCCAGAGAGGTTACCAAGGGGTGTTGGGAGGGGAAAGAATTCCTAGGAAACCCCAAAACCGGGAGCTAAGAAGCCCACAATGACACTGGACCGTGTGATAAGACAAATCCAGCTTTGGAGAAGTGACTATTTCAGTCTGACCCGTGGGAAGTCTTCAGAGGAGGGTCCTGTGCATTGCGGGTGGGAGGGTCAATTTCTGTGCGTCTAGGACACCAACGACTCTCAAAATGCTCACACCATGTGACCCAGGAATGCTACTCCTTTACAGTGAACCTTGGGAAATAATCCCAAGCAAGAAGAAAGATTTATGCCTAAGGAAATTCAAATAAACTGTAATCTAAATGTCTAACTGATAAGGAATCCCTCAGTAAAAATGAAATACAATGATGAAATACTATGAGACTCTCAGTTTTAAAGACTAATTATGCCAAGAGGCATTCATAATATGTTAACTAAGTAGGATACAAAACGTAGTTCATGTGTTCATGGCATCTGTACATGTACATATGGCCAGAACAAAGCCTGGACTGAAATACAGCAGAATTTCAGAGGCGTTACTTCTGGGTGGTGGGATACTGGTTGATGATTTTTCTTTTCTTCTTAGGTTTTTCTGTACTCTTCAAAATGTCTAAAATACTTCTGAGCTCTTTTTACAAGCAGAGCAAACAGTCATAAATATCATTTTTAAAAGGTCTGAGTGCATTGGCAGGAGACTGGAATTCTTATCCTGGCTTGACTACCACTTGCTATTTGACCACAGGCTTTGTCACCTTAGATTTCCTGAGCCTTGGTCCTCAAAGGCCAAATGCAATAACCAGCTGTTCCATGTGCTCCATGGGTACTGCGTGGGCCTAACAAGGCTAAGCGCTCTGTGGCCTCTAAAAACGTCCCAAGTGACACCACGACACCCACATGGTGTCATGCAGCCGAGCCCCTCCCTCCACCTGCCACCCTCCTCCTGGTCTCACCTGTGGTGAAGGGCAGGGTCCTGGCAGGGGTCTCTGAGCTGGAGAGGACTCGGGCCTGGCTGGCAGGTTCTGGGGCTGACAGTGAGGCAGGTGCGGCTGGGGAAGACTGAGCCCGGGACAGAGGCCGGTGCCCACCCTGAGCCAGAGGAAGCAGCACAGTGTCCCCGGTGCTGCCCCGGGGGAGCCGCCCAGCCAGTCGCTGCTGTTCCCAGAGCAACACCTAGGGGAAAGATGAGGCCTTGGTCTCCAGTGCCTCAGGGTCCTGCTCCCTCTACTTCTGCCTGAGGTCTCGGGAACTGCCAAGCAGGCCCCTTTCCTAGAGAGATTCCATGATAAACCTAGACCTGCTGTCCAGTGGGGCTCTGGCCTTTGACTCTCTAAGCCCCCTGACCCCTGCAGCCCCCTGAAAGGCTTGCACCCCAGACTGACCACTCATTCCATCAGAGCTCCCCAGGCCCTTGGGACTCCAAAGCCAGGAACCAGGGGAGGGGCGCTGGATCTTGCGCTGACCAGGATGTCCTCGTCTCCTGGACTGTGTAACTGCTCAAGAACATGTATGTGGCCTGTCATCATGTGTTATGGATTGAATTATGTTCCCCACCCTCAAATTTATATGCTGAAGTCCCAACCCCCAGTACCTCTAAACATGACCTTATTCAGAGATAGGGTCTTTACAAACAGAAGTAATCAAATTAAAACGAGGTCGTTAGGGTGGGCCTTAACCCAGTATGACTGTTGTCCTTATAGGAAGAGGAAATCTGAACAGACACACACAGAGGGAAACCACGTGAAGCCACAGGAAGAAGATGACCATCCACAAGCCAAGGAGAGAGACCTGGAACAGCCCCTGCGCTCACACTCACAGCCACCAGAAGGAACCAACTCTACCAACACCTCGATTTCGACTTCCAGCCTCCAGAACTGTGAGACGGTAAATGCCTGCTGTTTAAGGCACCCAGCCTATAGCACATATCCCAACAGCTGTGGCAAACTAATGCACTGGGTCTTGATTCCCACAGTGAGAGCATTCTGCTGGACATGCTGGAGCCTGGCTCCATTCCACCTCTGGCCCTAGCCACCTTTCTGGAAAGAGGGAGACACACCAGGGCAGGAGTGAGTGTGGCTCCAGGAAAGGCCAGACTCCCTGCTGGAAAAGGGACCTGCTTCACCTGAGACTGGCAAGCTGTTGTGTGTATGTGTGTATATGGGTGTGTGAGTGTGCATGTGTGTGTGTGTGTGCGCGCCTACACCTTGGTGTGGATCCAGCACCCAGGATCTTATAGGGCAACCATGGGTCCTAGAGCTGCCTCTTGCACTAATGTCGTATCTCTCTCCCTTCCCCATCTTATGCCAGGCGCCAGAGTCTTCTGAGGACACTTTCTGAGGGGCAGGTGGGGACTGCCATACCTGGGGGTGCTGCTGGAGAGGAGCAGGGCCTCTGGCCTCAGGCTGCCCATGGCTCAGCTCCCTGTGCTCCAGGCCATCGTCTACCACCTGGCCCGGTCCCCCACCATCTGTCTCCAGGTCTTCAGCCGAAGGTATCTGCCGCAGCCGGGGCTTCTCACTCGGTTTGGCTGACCTCTGGGGAGGGGAGACCCCTGGCTGAGAAGCCATGGTGGAGCAAGGGGCATGGGGTGGGAGGTAGTGCGCTGGGCCAGGCAGCAATCATCTTGCTAGGACTCCAGCTGCCACACAGCGCTGGGCTCCCAGAAGTCACATCCCCTTCTTTTGTCCTCCAGGTCTCTGCCCTTTCTAAGCACCCCTCTTCTTTCGGCCCCTAAGGTCCCAGTTAAGCACCCCCTCAATACCTCCACTACCCAATTCCTCTCACCTTGATCACCTGGACGTGAGTTTTGAGTTGCTCCAGGCGGGGCTGCATGGGGCCCGGCGGTGGGGGAGCGGTGGCACTGGGGGGCAGGGGCTCTGAGCGAGTCCGGCTCAGTGGCCAGTGGAGACCTGACCCGGAGAGCCGCTCGGTGGTCATTAAGGACTGGGCAAAGTGGAAGGGCAAGGGCCCAAGTCCGGGCACTGGAAAGAATCGGGGGGTGGAATAAGGAGGGAACCACAGGGAGCAATGGAAGGAAGTGAGGGTATAGGGTGGGGAGCCAGGGTGCAGCAGGGTGATGCGCAGGACACGGGGACAGAGATGGGGAGGAAGGATGGGCCCATCCCAAGCCTGGCCCTTAGCAAGATGCAGGGACCCACCCCTTCCCTAGAGAAGCAGCAGACTCACCAGTCAGCAGCGGGGCATGAGAGCCTGAGGGGTCCAGGAGGAGAATGGGCTGCAGGCGAGAGGGCAAAGTGCCCCCAGCCTCGGGCTCCAGGCCATGGGGCAGGAAGAGGGGAGTGTGGGGGCTCCCCAGGATCGGCCCCCGAGGGCCCAGAGTCGGATGGGTCCTGCGGTCACTGTCAGCCTGGGGGAGAGGCGGGAGAAGTCATGGGGGAGAAGATTCCAGCAGAGAACAATGAAGGTGTTGGGGTGAGGCAGCAGGAAAAGGGAGTGAAAGAAGCTGGGGGGGCTTGGAGTGGGGGTGGGCACCCCAGCCACTCACCCTGGCAGGGGCGGGCAGCCCCAGCGTGATTGCGGGCAGCAAGGACACTGTCGGCAAGGCGAACGGGGCCAGAGAAGTCTCCTGCAGCCGCAGCCGCTGGCCCAAGAGCGCCTGCCATAGGGAGCAGGGCGAGGGTCACCGGTCCCAGACCTCTACCCCAGCACACCTTCCCCAGAACACCCAGGAGGCTCTGGCAGGGGCTGCCCAGACCCTGTAGCCCCAGCCCGGGTAGGGCCGGTTGCTGGAAGAAGACTGAGCCTCAGAACTGCCCCAGGAGAGCCCAGTCTCAGCAAGGCCTTACCTCCGAGCCCAGGATGGGATTGGGGCCGTGCTCGCTGTCATTGGGGGAGCTGCACCCTGACGCAGGCGTGCTGCTACTACTTGGGGAGGAGTCTGAGGGTTGGGGAGAGAGGGAAGTGCAGTCAGAGGCCAGGGTGGGCAGGAGGGCACAGCCAGGCCACCTGGTGCAGGAGACCCAGGAGCAGCCCCTTCCTTAACCGGCACCTTTGCTTCCTGCTTTCCCTTTTTTCATTTTTCTTTTTTTTTTTTGAGACGGAGTCTTGCTCTGTTTCCCAGGCTGGAGTGCAGTGGCACGATCCCGGCTCACTGCAACCTCCACCTCCTGGGTTCAAGCGATTCTCCTGGCTCAGCCTCCCAAGTAGCTGAGACTACAGGCATGCACCACCATGCCCGGCTAATTTTTGTATTTTTAGTAGAGACAGGGTTTCACCATGTTGGCCAGGTTGGTCCCAAACTCCTAACCTCAGGTAATCAACCTGCCTCGGCCTCCCAAAGTGCTGGGATTATAGGCGTGAGCCACCGCGCCTGGCCTCCTGCTTTCTTCCCATAACAGCAGGAAGAAGGCAGGCCACCTTACACCCTACAGAACCTCTGCACAATTTTTTGAAGGGTGTCCCCTTTTCTGGGAGATGTCACCTTAGCTAACAGAGCAGGGACTGGGTTTCAGCCCCAACTCCTGTGCTTCGGCAAGTATGTGGGACACCCCCCATACAACCATGCATGGCAGTCCTAAGGAGGGGACCCCTGTCTAGGTGGGGCCTGACCCAAAGGGACAAGACCAGCCAGGTTTGAGGATGGCAACTGCACCCGCTCAGCCGGCCCTCACCTCCGAGGGTCTCTGCAGGCCGCCGCCGGAGGCTGGGGGGCGCACTTTCCTTTCGGAGCAGTGGATTCTTCCTCCGCTCCAGGGACTTCTTGGGCTTATAGCGCAGCTTCAGGTTGGGCTCAGAGACTGCAGGGAGCACCAGCGTCACTCAGGCCCCACCAACCCTTCTTTTTTCCACCCTTTAGTCCCTCAGTCCCAGTCATCTCTATCAGTCAAGGAAAGAGAAGGTAGAACCAGAAAGAAGATCCTAGCCTACCGACGATCTCCTGGCCTGGCCCAGTCCAGCCCGACCCTGCACACTCCTCCCCTACGTCCAAGGCCCCTCCCCCTTCCTTTGCCTGGAAGGTCCCACCTGTTTGTCCAGCTCACCTGTCTTGCGCAGAGGGAAGTGCTCTGGGGGGTCACTGGGCAGGCTGGGAACAGGAGGCAAAAAGCTGCTGAGCATGGAGCGGGCGGCTCCTTCCGTCTCCAGGGGCTCCAGGGTTCTACAGAATGAGTGCCAAGGCTGCTTCAGAGGGGTGGGGACACTGCACGGGCACCGCCCTGAGCACCAGCCCTGGGACCTGTGGGGCTGGGCAAGGTGGGGCTGGTAGGAATGGGGACCATCTCCAGGTGGCAGCAGTGGGCCACCTGTCCTCTCCAGCAGCTACAGTGCAGAGCTCTGACCTAGGCATAGAAGCCAGGTACTTGGTGCGTAGGTGAAGAGCCCACTGGGAGCTCTGTCACCTGCACTAGGAACCTGCTCTGGGAACCAGGACATTTTTGTGCTCAGGGAAAACATAAAGAGAGAAGGGGCTCATGTGCAAGAAAAAAGCCAGTAGGGTGTGTGTATGTGTGTGTGAAGGGCCTCGGGTGGGGTGGGGGTGGGGAGAGAATTTAAAGAGAGAAGAGGGCACATATCAGTTGAGAGAGGGGCTTGGGGGCATTATGTTTAGAGGAAGGTTAAGGACTGGTTGTGGCAGCTGGGGAGGAAGGAGGCGTGTGTATGTGCTCATGGCTAACACGGGGGTGAGGGTGGAGGCTGCATGTGGGGACAGGAGAGCAGGTGAGGAGGGTGTTACCTGTAGGGAATGCCGGGGCTGTTGGAATGGACTGTTCTCTCTAGGGCCGCCTGCTGTTTTTTCAGAATCACCTCCGCCAGCTTCTGCTTGACCACGCTGCTGGCTACAGCACCTGTAGGGGCAGAGTCACGAAGGGGCTGGAGGTGGGTGGACAGGCAGCCTCATGGCACTCCCTGGCCACTGTCCTGTCCCCATCCTCAGTAGGAGGCGTCCCAGGGACTCCCCGGGCAAGAGCCAAGACCGAGGCCCTACCCCTCCCGGAAGCCTCCAGACACTCCCCACCCGACCCCACATCCCACACACATTCACAGGCAAAGCCCAGGCAAGCAGGGGGAAACCTCGGCTCAGCTGGCTGCGCCCCTCCCACCTCACCCCTCACAAGCTACACAGGCAGCCACAGGCACCCGGCTGGTGGGGCTGGGCTGGGCTGGGGCGGTGTCCTCCTTACTTCGCTTGCTCTTGTCCTTGTGGAGAAGCTGCCGCAACTCTTGTTCCTGGGGTCCTACCTGCAACTCGGGCATCGGTGTGTCCATGGAGAGCTGTGGGCAGGGCCGGCAGCCCAGAAAGGAACAAGAAGTTGAGGACTGAGACTGGGGTCTAGGGAGGCTGAAGGCGGGGAGGCTGGGGACCAAGCTCAAGGTGGCCCCACGTGCAGGGAGCTCCATCTTTACCCTCATGGGCTCCACCGAGCGCTGCTGCTGCAGGCCTGCTAGGAAGAGGTGGTGGTGCAGGCGCTGGGGACGCTGCAGGGCCAGCAATGTGGGCTCTGGTGGGGGCTCCACTGGGGGCCGCTGGCCCACCCGCAGGTCCATGGGCTGGGGCTGAGGGCCTGGTGTGTCTGCACAGGGCCTGGGGCAGCCTGGGGACAGACAGAGGGAGCAGAGTAAGCTGGAAAGTTTGTCCTCGGGGGCATGACTACAGCCTGGTCCTCCCTCAGCCTCCTTCAGGCTCACTTGACAATGGCAAAACACTCTCATGGGGTTTTCCTCACTTAATCCTGTCATGGTCCTGCAAGGTAGGTGTTATCAATTCCATTTACTCGTGAGAAAAAGTCACAGAACTGAACGCAGTTACACTGTATCGCTGGTGGTGCTGGAATGGAGCCTTCCGACTTCACCACCGTGCTCTTCCACTAAACATGCTCCTCCCTGGGCCTGGGGCTGAGGGCTACGGTGATCTATGATGGGACATTGTCCTATGGTGGGACATTCTTGGCCCTGCCTTCTCCCTCCCTTTATCCCTCCCTGGAATCAGAGGATTTGCCCAGCTGCCCTTTAATGAGTTGGGCTCAAAGGAAGCAATCAGGCAGGCAAACAGGCCCACTTTGTTCCGCCTCCAGCCCCTAGCCTCACAGGCCCTCTGGGTCGCCACCCTGCCATGCTCTATCCCCAGTCATGAGATAAAGTGATGCCTCAAGCCTACAGCCAGCCCTGACCAGCCACGTTGGGCCTGCAAAACCCTGTGCCCAGGGCAGCTTCCTCAGCTCACAGGGCCCATGTGCCCTTGGGCCTGCTCCTGGGTGCCTCCACGGCAGCTCTGGGCCTGGCATGGTCAGGATGGCAGGCACGGCTGCCTCTTCTCAAGAATCCTCTGCACCCATGCTAGGAGCACCCTGCCAAGGCTGTGGGTGCAGGGGCTATTTATAACTAGCCACCAGACTAGGGTTCATGCCAGCATAGCCAGCTGGACCAGGCTGGGCTGAGCAGCCAGAGAGGCTGAGACACTGGGAGATGGAGCTGTTGCATAGGGCTTATCCTGGAGAAGGGGAAGTGGGTGGGGTGGGAGCAGGCCGGCCCCATGGTGGGGCACACAAGTGGAGAAGCCTTCCTGGAGAGGTCTCCTTCAGCAATTCCAAAGCTGGGCATCTCCCAGTGGGGCAGCCACAGACTGTCCTCAGGGATTGGGGCTGAGGAGGGCTGGAAAGGCCTGTGGCAAAGTACCAGTCCAGGAGTCAGAAATCATAGCCTCCAGGCCCAAGCCGGCCACTCCTAACCACAATCTTTACATCTACAGCACTTGCGAGTGAACATCTACAAAACCCTCTCACCTCATCAACCCACTGGCCCTGGGGGGTAGTCATTACTATCTCGTTATTCTAAATAAGGAAACTGAGTCTCGGAGGTGAAGGGCCCTATCCAAAGTCACCCAGCTAGGGGCAGAGCTAGCATGGGTTCTGGTCCTACCAAGGCAGGTACTCCAGTTTTCCACCAACTTTCAGTAATTCACCTCCCCTCAAGGGGCTTTCTCACTAAGCAAAGAAGAGGGGTTTGCAGTAGGCTGTCATTAAAGGGCATTCACTCTAACATTCCCTAACTGTGACATGAACACAAGACAGGAGCCCAGCAAGGAGGTGCCCGCCATGCCCCCGAATATCAAAAGGCCCAGAGGGACGGTGATGGCTATGCACCCAGATACCGCCCGCAGTAGAAAATGCACAGCTTTGATGCCCCACCCCTTGTTCACGGTGCCTCTCAAGAAATCCAGATTCTCATTTGGGTTGAGTCTGGGTTTTGAATACGAAAACACTCCTGCCCCAGGAAGGGTTTCAGTCCTTCCATGTTCTGTGTCCTGGTTTCCTGGGGTGACTCCCCTGATTATGCAAGAGGGGCCTGGGGGAACCAAGGCCAGCCACCTGGACCGAAGACCAGTGGCTTCAGCCACACACGGATTGTGAGCAGCCCCCAGCAGCGGCCCTTCCCCTCACACTCTGCATGGCCATTGCCTCCACAGCAGAAGGGAATACAGGATGGGCTCTGCCTGGAGCCCTGGAAATACTTTTTGGGGTGCTGTAGCATTCCTAAGGCTCCACAGTCTGGTCCCAACTTGGCTTCTCTCAACTTGGTCTGCATCTGAACATGAACCTTCCACCTTGGCCATCAGCTTCCACCTGTCACAAATCCACGTCTCTTCTGTTCTCTGACCTTTTGTTCACAATGTTCCCCTGCCTGTGCTGTCCTCATCCCAACATTCTACTTTTCCAAATCCTACTCTCTGCTCAAAGCTCAGCTGGAGTCCTCCCTCATCCCTGGACCCAGCCAGCGTCTAGCATCCCTCCCTCTTTTGGACTCCAGTCATGTGGCCGTTCCATACCAGGATCAGTGATCTGTGGGCAGGCACCATGTCTGAGTTAAGCTCCATAGGGCGGGGACTTGGTTTCATGCATTGCTTATTATTCCCAGCACCTAGAATAGTACCTACCACATGACAGGCACTCCACAAACATAGAATCAATGAATAAATCGGTGTCTCTCCTAAAATGTCGAGGAAAGTACCCTGGCACAGAGACAGAGCTCATTAATGATTCTTGAACAAATGGATAAACTCATGAATCAGTGTCCTCTCATTATTATTGCATTCTACTGTTTTTTTTTTCTCTTTGTATTTGTGTTTGCTTCCTCCCTAACCTGCCTGTTAGCTTTTCAACAGCCAGGACTAAAGCAAGGAGGATACCTGGACTCCATTTCTTCCTGCTATATGGAATTATTAGGCATCAGGCTGTGTATCTTGCACTCAGTAGGCCCTCAGTTGCTACTGGCTGCGCTGAAGGAAGGGCAGACCGAGTCTAGTCCAGACCTGGCCCCATGGGCATGTCCTAAACCAAAGCAGCAGCAGGAAGCCCAGTCCTTCCCCAGGGCAGACTAGCAGCAGAGGAGGCTCGGGCCAGCAGAGGGAAGAGGCGCAGACGGTGAGAGAACACTTCCCCTCCAGCAGAGCAAGGGCTCTGCAAGGGCTGCCATGCCCACCTTGCAGAGCCAGTGTGAGAACCGAATGAGTCCACACACAAGAACACACCTTGCCTGGTGCCTGACATGGGGCAGGGATCTCAGTATAAATATTAGCTTCTTACTTTCCTTCCTGTTTCACTGCTCCCAGCAAGAACAAGAAGGGCATCCTGTGTTTCCTTTTCCTGTTGTGTTTCCTAGCACTGCGCCCAGCCAGCATCCAGAGCTGCCTCTCTTACCCCAGCTCCTCGCCCCTCCCTGGAGTCCCCCCTCCTGGCTCTCTGGCAGATCAGGCAGCGATCCTGCTTCTCTAACCCCTCAGCTTCTCGCCTTCTTACAGCCTTTCCACCCCTCATCTTCCACTCCCTACCATGAGTCAACTCCCCGGGCTTGACTCTTACCTGTGCCAGTGGGGCTGCGATAGTGGGCACCCGGGCTCACCTGGGTCCCATCTGTAGAGAGAGGAGAGACGGAGTGAAAGAGCTGCAGGGAGGGGTGAGGAGAGGGAGCAGGAAGGAAAGAGAATCAAGCCAGGCCTGCTCCCTGCCACTCCAAGCTTGAGCACGCCAAAGCCTGGGACCTCCACCAGAAGTTAATCAAAATGAGAAGACCCCACCCCATTCGACTTCTCCAATCCCCCTGCTGGCGAAAAGGGCTCCCAGCTCCCTCTTCCTCAAGTCACTCACTCTAAATGACTTGAGCTCAGACAGAACAAGAACCTAAGGAGGCCTCAGGTCACCCAGCAATGCCCTTAGCCCTCCCTCCTGTGGTCAGATACGATCTTCCCTGGGCAGCCAAACCAGGCTCCCATCACCCGAGGGAAAGAAGAGGGCCGAGAGGTGAGGTGGGGCTAGAGGTGGGAGAACCCGGCTGGGGGGACGGCTGTGGGGACAGGAGGAGATGGGGAGGAATAGGCCTGGAGAGAGGGAACCTGGCCTGCTCAGAGCCTCCCAAGTGGGAGTGAATGGAGCAAGAGGGGACACAGAGGTTTCCAGAGTGGGGGAGGGACTGGGTCAAGGCCCGGAGGTCAAGTCAGATCTGGTGGGAACTGTGAAGTGGTAAGGGCAGGAGTGCACAGCCTAAGGACCCCGTAGTGCAGACCCTTTTCCTCACATTGCCCCATCCTATGTCCTGCTGCCTCTGTTTCCTCAGAGAAGGGACCTACTCAGCCTCTTTCCCACATTATCTGAGACAGAAATCTTTTCTTTTGGAAATGGCTGCCTCTCTCAGGCTCCTAAGCCCAGCAAGAAAACCTATAGCTGGTCAGATTTTCTGGTCAGCAGCAGAAGGCCCCCAGGGGACGTGGAGGCCGGCTAGGGTTGGAGAAGACAGAGATGAGTCCTGAGGCCACCTGTCCAAGACAGACACCTTTCCCTCTTGCTGTCCAGTTCAGGGTCAAGGGGACAGGAGGCCAGGAGACCCAGAGGCTGCCTGGAGAGGGTATGGGTGGACACAGAAGCCCTCTGCTGGCCAGACTTGGGGCAAAAGGGGTATTTTTTGAGAAACTGCCAGGGTGCTCCTTTGGTTCTGTGTCACAGAGGCAGCCACAGTTCCTCTTCAGAGCTGAGAAATGAGAACTTACTGCAGGCAGGCGCTGCTGGGGGAGGGGGCAGCCTGGGCACAGGGAGACTCCCACCGACTGCCCTCAAAACATCCCACGCTTTGGGTGACAAAGTTCGGTCAGAAAATGCTGCTCTACCTATTTAAATTCTGCCCATCCTCTGAGGTCCAGCCCAAGTCCATTTCCTTGGGAAGCTCCCCGTGACCTCTCCCCTCCTCCTTTTCCACAGCACTCGCTCTGTGTCTACTACCTTGACACTTCATTTATCATGATCTCTGTGGTGCCCTGTGGAAGCCATGGCCATCTGCACCAAACACCTCACTGGGCACATGGCAGGATCTGTTAGTAACTGGCAAATCAAATACAATGACTCTCTCCTGACAACGTGCCTGAGACACAGCATGCATGTTTCTCAAGGTGGTGGGCCTCAGAGGCAAACTCCCCTCCCCACGACATGGTAACCCCCAATCCCAGGCTTTCTTAGTACCTCTTCTTTCTTCTGCAGGACCTAGTCCTCCCAGAGGTTTCTGGACTGGGCTCCAGGGTGCACTCCCAGAGACTGTGTCAGGCTGAGTCCCCTGCCTCCTGGGAATTCTGTCCCACCTCCCCAGTCCCTGCCCAGGGGCTGGTCAGAAGCATTCATGCTTGGGAGCAGAGCCAGGTTCTCTGCGCCTTGCTCCCCTGGTAACCACAGATTCTGGACACCATGCACTCTCTGGATAGGAGAAAAATTAATGACCCTGAACTCTGTGGTGTTGGCTACCAGGACCCAAAGGGATGTTTTGTGGTGATAATCCATAATATAAAGTCTGTCCAGAAAAGCTGTGTGCATGTGTGCGTGTGTGTTGGCAATGGGGGCTGCTTCCAATAGCAACTCCTGGAAAAAGTTCTGCTTTTCCCCCGCTCCCTGGCCCTGTGCTGAGGGCCATCAAGTTCAGAAGAGCCCAGAGCAACAGAGATAAGACCTGGGAACAGCTCTCTTTGTGTCCTAGAGAGAGGAAAGGCACCCCGTTAGTAGCTGAACTGAAGCCAGAACATGAACATCCTGCATCCCAGTTCTGGCTTGAGTGTGGGGACCTCTTTTCCCATCACTGCCTCTCTCCAAGGGCTGTTACTACTAATTTGGGGTCAGCCTGAAAAAAAAAAAAAGAGAGAAGTAAATGGACCCAAGGTACCAGGAATACTGTCTAGCACTGGAACCTTCTCCACATGGCTCTCTGCCAGGTTGGAGAGCTCTCCTTTTTGGAATCCTGGCTACTCTACCCTTTTCTATCTTCTTTGGAGGCAACTGCAGTCAGACTTAAGAAACAGTTTACTTGGCACTGGGGCACGTGGGCCAGCAAGTCACCTTCTTAAACCAGAATACCTGATTTTACCCAAAAACCTACAGAGCCCCTGTTCCAATGGGTGCACTCCAGCCCTCAGCAACCTCCAGAGTAGATACAAACACAAGTCTAAGCACCTGGAACAAACTGACCTCCCTACTGCTCCTACCTTATTGCCTCAGGCTCCAGGCTTGGTCCTCCCTGCCCAGCAGGTATGACTTTGCCTCCTAAATCTGCACAAGGTGGATGAAAACCTGAGCCTTGCCGACCACCTGCTCTCCCAGGAGCTTCATGTCTTCAATGGGACAGAAAGGAGCACTGCCACCTAGAATGCCCTCTCCCAATGCCTCCAGTGTCTTTTTTTTTTTTTTTTTTTTGAGGTACGGTCTTGTTCTGATGCCCAGGCTGGAGTGCAGTGCTGTGAACAAGGCTCACTGCAGAGTTGACCTCCTGGGTTCAGGCGATTCTCCTGCCTCAGCCTCCCGAGTAGCTAGGACTACAGTATGCACCACCATGCCTGGCTAAATTTTTTTGTTTTGGTTTGTTTTTTTGTAGAGACAAAGTCTTCCCCTGTTGCCCAGACTGGTCTATAACTCCTGGGCTCAAGCGATCCTCCTCGCTCACCTTCAATGTCTTTGTTGAGGCTGTTCCCACCTCCCTGGACTCTTGATTAGCTGAAAAGGAAGCAGCAGCAAGAAGACCTAGGCCCCAGCAGCAAGAGGAAAGCAGGCAGTGGCAGGAGGCCATAGTCCTGGGTTCAGAGCTGACTCCCTTCACACCCGAGGTTGCGGTCTCTGGTTCTCTTTCCCTGACATAGGCTGGAAAAAGCTTGAGTCTCCATGGGGCTGGCAGAGAAGATGAAGGCTGGTGGTGAAATAGCTTCAGGAAGATCCAAGAATAAATACACAGGAGAAGGAACACTGTGGTTGCCAGGCCTCCCTGACACAGAGTGGGGGCTGAGCACGAGGATCAGCTCCTCTTCCAGGCTTTAGAGATCATTCAGACCAACACTCTCATTTGACAGAGGAGGAAAGAGAAAGAAGGGGTGAGGTCACAGCCACCCAGCCAGCCAGTGGTCCAGCCAGGCCAGGCCAGACCAGTACAGGGGAAACCCAAAGGTCGACCCCGAATGCAGGTACTACTTCCATGGGAAGTCACTGATCTAGGGGTTGAAAAGACAGAAATATGAGTGAAACCTGGTTCTCACTTTCAAGGAGTTTAGAATACAGCCTGCAGCCTTAAACATATTTGAACAAGTACAATACTTGCAGATACTAAAAAAATTCAGAGAGCCCAAAAGTTGTTAGGATAAGTTTCTCATTCATCCCAGACTCCCTAGAACTTCCCTGGAAGCCACCCTTTCTAACAGCTTCTTGTGTCTCCCTTCCAGAAATTCTCTATACTGCTCATTGATTGGCACTGAATGCTTCTTGCTTAGATTTATCCAGAACCCAGCAGGGAGCTGAGAGTGGGCTGGAAGCCCCCGCCACATGAGGTCTGGCAGGCCACAAAATGTGAGGGAATCGAAGGTCTGAAGCACACAGGACATTTGCTTTGCAGTCAGATGGGACTGGGTTTAAGCCCCGACCCCCTAGGTGACTGGCAAGGCAAGCCAGAAACACAATTTAACCTGCTTAGGCTGCCCCATCTGTAACCAGGAGATAAGAATACCTACTTCAGGCTGGGCGTGGGGGCTCACGCCTATAATCCCAGAACTTTGGGAGGCCAAGACGGGCAGATTACTTGAGGTCAGGAGTTCGAGACCAGCTTGGCCAACATGGTGAAATCCCATCTCTAATAAAAATACAAAAATTAGGCATGGTGGCGGGAGCATGTAGTCCCCGCTACTTGGGAGGCTGAAGCACAAGAATCGCTTGAACCCAGGAGGTGGAGGCTGCAGTGAGCTGAGATTACACCACTGCACTCCAGCCTGGGCGACAGCAAGACTCTGTCTCAAAAACAACAACAACAACAACAAAACAAAAGAATACCTACTTCAAAGAGGTCACCTGAGATTAGCAATGCTGTCTGTGATGCACTCAGCACATGCAGGGGGGCGGGGGGTGGTTTCCTTCGTGGTAGTTTGCCTGCTGCACTTGTCTGCAGCCTCCTTCCTGGCATTAGCATTTCAGTGTCTGCTCCCAACTCTCCTCCCTCCTCTACCACAGACCATTTTCTCCTGGATGCATGCCCCTGCCCCATCTCGCTCACTCGCTTTTTTTTTTTTTTTTTTTTTTTTTGAGATGGAGTCTTGCTCTGTCACCCAGGCTGGAGTGCAGTGGCACAATCTCAGCTCACTGCAACCTCTGCCTCCTGGGTTCAAGCAATTCTTCTCCCTCAGCCTCCCAAGTAGCTGGGACTACAGGCATTAGCCACCAAGCCCAGCTAATTTTTGTATTTTTAGTAGAGACGGTGTTTTGTCATGTTGGCCAGGCTGGTCTCAAACCCCGTCCTCAGGTGATTTGCCCACCTCGGCTTCCCAAAGTGTTAGGATTACAGGTATGAGCCACCGTGCCCAGCACCCTGCCCTATCTCTAATCGCCAGCCTCTCCCAACTCTTCCCTTT